GGGAATGGGAGGGGGCACAATGTCCAAGAAATGAATCCGAAGAATGGTAGAAAAAGGAAGGCTAGGAGTAAAGGGCAGAGGCCCCGGCAGTGAATTGAGGGGGCGTGAGAGTTACGTATCGCGTCAAAAAGCGAGGAAGATAAAGGGGAGGGAAAAGACAAATGCTCAGGCTGTCTCGTATGTTTGGTATGTGCACGGAAATGTAACATTTTTCTACAAGAGAGAGAGAGAGAGAGGGAGGCACAGAGAGTGGGAGCACAGGCGGGGTAAGGAGGAGGGATCATGAAAAAACAGTGTGGGACATTGAGGGAATTTGGGGACAAAAGGGAGGAGATGGAGTAGTCAAACACAAATGAATCACTGGCGAAGGGCCACACACACACACACAGTTTAACCAGGGCCTGCTCTGTCTACCGTCTACCTCTGCGTTCAACATGAAAAGGTTACACAGGCTTATGATGTGAATGCAGCTCTCAGAAACAGAGAAAGAAAGTAGGGCTGCTTTTGTTCACCATGTCACTGAGACCAAAAAAAACACGCAAAGTCAGGGCATCGCCGGATCACGAATGGGCTCCGCCTAGCTCAGAAATAAAGGGAGGTATGACTTTTAAAGCCAGGAGAAGCACACAGAGGAGGTGGAGAGGCGGTGGGGCCAGGGGGAGGGAGGCTTCATTTATCCCCCAGAAGCAGCTTTTCTTTTTCTCGGCGTGTGGGTGGATTACATGCACCTTTACAGAACAACGCTACGCCAGTACTGTCGATGGGTGCTGTTTACGCTGCACGTCCGTTTTGATTTATGTGTGCGTCTGCGTGAGATGGGCTGCAGTCCTGCGAGGAGGGGGGGGGGTCAGAGGTTGAAGGTCGGCCATGAAACAGACTAGTAGGGCGGGTTGACAAGCTTGAGAAAAATCTTCTCGGCCGCCGCTCGGTGAAACAAGGGGTGATTTATTCTCGTCCAGAAATTGATCTATTTGATCAAGAAGTTAGAGAGCCCGCTCAGTATTTTTTTTTGATGCCGTATAGAGGAAAGACTTCTGCAGGAGAGATCCGGGCATGTGCCCTTGCTAACTTTGGGTTTAAATCGATACCCTCGGTATCCTCAGGAGTGTCTCTTGTTACTTTTGAAGTTTATACAAAAACCAAACTTTTTTCTGAGGATGTTGAAGAGATTTGCAGGCGTCGCGGCGGACGACCCGCCGGCCCATCTGTGCGGTTGGAGGTGAAACCCTGAATACGTTGAGTGTTTGCGTTGAGCTCCCTCTGCTTCGGCACTGAGCGGCCGTCCCACAACAAGGAGCCTTTGTCCCGCTATCAGCTCTGTCCCCTTCAGGTCGGCCCCTCCGTTAGCGGGAACAAGAGCAGCGGACTATCAACACACCTGTCTGTTATCACATTTTATCACGTCCAACCTGTCCCGCCCACAAATAAATGTTAAATATTTGAGTGGGGAATTGAATTTGTTCCCCTGTTTCCCTGTCAAACTAATTTGATTTCAATGTGTCCACAAGTCTTAATGAGTAAGCCAGTTAAATATATATATATATTTATATATATTTTGCTCAATAAAGGTAATATTTCTGAGCCACTTAAATGCAAAATATATTCAGCATTCGAATTCAAATGTCAAATTCAATTCTAATTTCTATGGGAGGCTGCATCCTCACATCTGACAGCATCACATTCTTTCTGCACATGAAAACAAATATTTCACCTCGACCAGTCAAAGTCCAGTCATTGCCTTCTGTCAATAATCTTCACTTAATTAAAATAAAAACAGTTAATAGCAGTAATTGAAAAAAAAGAAAAACTATCACTACTTAAAAAGGAATAAATTAGAATAAGTTGAATGGATACAAAATGCATTTTAACTCACTAATTAAAATGTTGGTGTATTATACAGCAAACTCTTTGAGGTTGCCATTTCATTGAAGGAAAACAGGATGAGCTGTAGTGAAAAACACCATTTCAATGTGTACTCTTTTTTTTCACGCAACCCCCCTGACACTCACAAGCCTTTAGTTAATCTCCATTTTTGATTCCTCTTTCTTACTCAAAGATCTGGAGTTTGAGCTGAGCCCCAACGTCGTCATCTCCTCGCTGGGCAAACCTGTCACTTTGCACTGCACCCTGAAAGGCACGGGGGACGAGGAGGTGGACCCCCCCGATGTGCTCTGGCTGAGAGACGGTGTGCCGCTCCTCTACGCCGACACCAACCAGTTCCAATTCCACACCGGCGGCACCGGCTGGACGATCATGAGCACACTCAGGTAGCCGCCTGTTTCTCTACCGTGGACCGGAGTGTCGCCTTTGTTACAAGAGGCTGCCACACCTGCCCTAAAAATGTGAATAACACTGCAGCTGCGATTAAAATCATTTCCTGTTCCTCCACATTGTCCTTTCACCCGGCTTAACCAGTATGTCTGCATGTATGACTTCTGGCCGCTGTGGAGCAGTTTAAAATCTGAAAGAAACCAGATAACCTGAGCAAATCCCAAAACTGAAGCCTCGTATGATCGTAAGAATTTAATCAGGGTCTGATTGGGTTTTTGAATCGTACCTTTCTATGCACACAACAGTATTGAGAAGGTTCAGCTTCCCGACATGGGCGCCTACCGGTGTGCCGTTCTGTCCGAAGGTCACCAGACCATGTCCGAGGAGGGGAGCATTCAGCTGGAGGGTGAGTTCATCTGCAGCTCACAGCAGACGGCGACACAAATAAGCAGCACGGTTGTATTTGGAAGTTGAATCGAGACCCTGATTCAGCAAATCTATTCTCTCGCTCAGGCCTTCCTCATTTCTCCGTGGAGCCCCAGCACATGTCCATAGTGGCCAACGTGTCCCTGACCCTGAGCTGTGTGGCCCACGGACCTCCAGAGCCCGTTAGGGTCATCTGGCTGCAGGACGGCGCTCCTCTCAACTCCCTGTCGGACCCCGTGGCTCTGTCGCCCTCCACGCTCAACCTCACAGGTATCGTCTGTCACAGCCATCAGCTGAGCGCTCTGACGCTCTCTGAAGGTGCTTCATACGTCATTGGGGCAAGCTATTGCCCATTAATCAATCGACATTTGATTTCAGCACTACATTAGACGTTAGCATGATGTTAGCATCTCACTTGTCTATGTTTGTGGCCTCCAAGCAGCGTTGTTTTTTAAATCCCTAAAAACAAGACAATTTCAAATGTATCGTTGTTTAGTGGAACGTATTCCGACTGACTATGATGTACTGCCTCAAAAGCTGCACATCAACTATCCTCTATAGCTTCAAAGGCTGCCAAACCCTCCCTCAGTGGTCCAACACAACCGCCAAGAAAACCACCCTCTCACAGGGGGAGAGTTGGCCCGGGGCCAGCGGATCCATTTGGGGGACGCGGCTTGTGGTTGATGGGTAAAAGCAGAGCAGCGGGCGAAAGAGGGCCTTCTATGGGGAGATGAATAGATGGGCAGGAGGTAAGAGACAGAGGCTTGAACGCAAACCACAGCTGCCAGCCAGATAGCTGGCCTGTGTTCAGTCCAGTGGCAGGAGGACAGGAAGAGCAGGTTGAGTCAGAGGCCGGGAGGGGGGGCGGGAGGCAGGGCGGGAGGCAGGGAGGGAAGGAGCCGTTGGTTGAAGGATCTGGTTTGACTCATTTGACGCAGGCTGCCTGCTGATGTCCAGGGCCTGTTTGACGGTAACCTACACTCACATCTCTGGAATGGGGGACTGACAACAGGTCCGAAGATAAATGATCTCATTAGGGTGTAAACGGTGAAGAGAGACGGCCCAGCGTTCACTTTGAACCAGAAATCCAGTGCAACACGTCTCTCAGTAGCGTCTCAGGGTGTCCATCCCTGTCTGATGAAACGTGTGACATCCAGATCTCTTTGTGTGTCCGCCAGCTTTGGGAAAGTACTTTGCATTTTTGACTTGGAACAGTCAAGAACACTTAATGGTTTTAGCCACATGATAACGATTGTCCTATTGATCCTGTACTTTAATGCTGATGATAAATTCATAAAATACTGAATTCAATGGTTACAGCTCCTAAAATCAAAGTGACTGATACCTCTCCCTCTCTGCAAATGTAGTCGTTGTTCAGCCAAAATCAATTTCAAGACATCAGCTCTCGGGATCTGTGATCAACAGTTTTCTTTTTACTGATCTGTAACATATTGCTAAATAATTGGTTTGTTAACCTCACCCGAAAATGGTTCAACTAAAGCCTGGGTCCATAGTAGCTACAGCAGCACTCGCTCCAAACGTTGGTAAATCTAGTTAATCCTGCCATCCTGTCCTCCCAGGCCTCCCTCTAAAGCCACCCCCCCCCCAAAAAAAAAATATCGTTATGAGAATGTTGTATTTCAACAAAGATTCATTCCCCACCTCAGCTTTAATAAGGTAAACAAAAATGAGTGAATCCACCATGGCGCAGAACATCAACAAAGCACAGTCCTGATGCTCTCCCCACATAAAGGAAGCAGCGGGACCGTCGCTCAACGCCGCGATGCTCGTGAGCTCAGGAGTTCTTCCTGGTGACCGATTATGACATTGTCAGCGGGCCGGGGGTTGTTGTGTTGCGGTTTGCTGACGGGGAAGGAAAAGAGTCAGAAGGGCCGCTGGCGCAACCTCGAGACGTCTCGATGAGCACTTCATTCTCCCTCGTACCTCACCCCTCCCTCCCTCCTCTTCCTCTCTCACAATCCTCCCGCTTCAACCAGAGGGGTTCGTACCCTCTGTTCTTTTTCCGACAAACAGCACAATGGAGGCATGGTGCCGTCAGCGCAGAGCGACACACACTGCCGGTTGTGTGAGTCCGGGCTTGTGACTGATTGACAATGTCAGGGTGTTAGATAACCAATGATGAATGTCACATGTTTCAGTATGGTTCTGTGTGTGTGTGTGTGTTGTAAGATTGTTTGAGTGTGTGAACACGCTGTGAGTCACTTTGTAAGAGGACTCATTCACTGTTAAATATCTGTGTTTGTGTGTAGCGGTGCGTTTGTGTGTCCCCCCCCCTTCAGAGGAGCCCCAACCTCTCAGAAGCGCTAGCTCAGCCTTCTTTACACCTGATCCCACAACACGACCGCTCTCTTTGTAATCAAAAGCGCACAGCGAGAAATAACCCGCTGCAATCATGCGGCCTTTTTACTTGAAGGGGCTTCTTGAGTTCAAGAGGAAGTCTTTTTACATATGAGATTCTAAGACTTTGTACAAAGCTGGTTTGAGAAGAAGGTCCTGGAAGGGATCTGAAGGTCAGACGACAAAGAATTTGTAGATGTCAGATTAGAAATGACAATGTTTGATCACTATTCATCAGAACTACATCCATTAAATTAGAATAATAACAACACTAGTTAAATGTGAAACTTCTGAACGGCCGCGCTTGACAAAATGCCGGACACGCACTTTCATATCCACAAACACCTGACCTTATGGAAACTATTGCCCTCCCATTAATCTCCCTCCGGTCCGAACCTTCAGACCGCCTCTCATGTCGACATCATCTGCGACTCAGCATACTGATGAAGGACTCTTGGTTTGAGAAGCCCCCCCCCCCAGATTCACACGCACATGTTGTATCTCGTTTGCCTGTCCAGGTTTGAACCGGACCAGCACTTTTTCTTGTGAGGCCCATAACCACAAAGGAGTGGCCACCTCTGGATCCGGTACCATCACTGGTGGGTGTCACACTGCGCATATCGGCCCACCATTGCTGGGATCATTATAAAAATGTGTGTATGTCTTTTCCTGTCTGTCTTTAGTCCTCCCGTCCAAGCCTCAGAACCTGAGAGCCGCGGAGGTCACGCCAACCGGTCTCCGCTTAACGTGGCAGCCCGCTTTCGGGGGCGACTACCCGATAGTCCGCTGCACTGTTCAGGTGAGGTGAACGTGACCGGAGGAGGAATACCAAAAGTACCTGAGCGAAACCTGTGCGTTGGACAAACGCATCACTCTCTCCTCCTCATTTGCGAGAGTCTCCGCTCTCTTTTCTTTTTGCGGGCCGTGCTTTTCAAAGAAGAGCTCATCATCTACTCCTCCCTGCTTTATTCATGTAGCCGGGGATCAGGTTTCGCTCTGGAACAGTGGCCTCCTGGACTAAGTAGCACCACTCTGTGTCAGTCTCTCTCTGCCGCTCTCATTGTAGCTGGGAGGCAGAAGGGGGGAGGAGAGGGGGGGGGGGGCATTTTTTCTCCTGTAGAAGGGAGCAGTGCTGCAGCAACACCCCTAAATGTCTGGTTCTAATAACGCTGCCCCTCATACCTCTCGCTCCCCCCCCCCTTTCTCCTCGCCCTCACTGGGGAACAAGGCGAGGGGCCAGCTCGCAGAAACGGGGCAAAATTCTGAATTTAATAGTTCATTGTGGGGCCGGAGAGAAAAGGGGAAAAAGCAACATAGCAGAGAGCAGAGAGTTGTGACTGAGCCGAACACAAGGAGGCATAAAAAAAGAGGAAGGCAATAAGAGGCAAAGAGAGAAGGGAACAGGGGAAGTGCAGTGACAGCAGGTAATGTCGGTCTGACCCATACAAGAGGAATGCAGACTCAAGTGTGACTCAGAGCTCAGGGGCACAATTCCATTATACACACTTGTTTGCAGCCGGGACGTGATTCATTCAGGAATGACTCGCTCTCCGGTAAACACATTTCTTTCACGGTCCTCATTCACACGGCTTGAGATTCCACCACATGCCACACTCACGGCATGAGGCAAACCGCCTCCCCCTTCTGCATGCTGATGGTTTGTGTGGCTGTTATTAACATGTTTCCAGCTGATATACTGTAAAGCCCCCGTCCCCCCCTCTGTGAGGTGCAGCCAGTAGCCTGCAGGAGACACAATAACGCTCCAGACCGGCTCCTTTAATGTGTTTTTAAAGATTGCTGCAATCAGGGAGTTTTTTTTTTATCCCCTGCCTTTGTGTTTCTCTTTAAACTTGTTCACCACTGTGAGTTTGCAGAGACAGCAGGTTTCTGACTGTTTTTTTTAGCTGATGGGTTCTGCTTTCTCTGAGGCTGGCTTACGTTTGACACAACAATGCGCAATTTATGGCAATTTATGGCAATTAAGGCTCAGTGACCACACCCCATGCACGGGCACTCCAGTTAGTAGATTTTTATACTAGAAAAAACACTCAAAACCTAATTTGCAGCAGGTGGTTTCTCTATACTATAAAGTTAAATAATTATTGGGAAATATGAACTCATCAACACATGTTTGAGCTTCTGTAGTGCCAACCAACAAACTCTGATCTCTGATCGTTAAAGCTTGGTAACAGGTTCTAGTAGCAACTCAAAACCCAAGAAGAACCGTAAAGAAGCACGATGTGTGACAAATTATTTTGAGATAAAGTGACTGGCCTTCAACTCCTGTTCACACATTTAGTTGAACATTATCAAATTGAGTTGCATGCACAAATAATTAAATTAATTTAATTTACTGCATTAATGCAACTATTTTTTGATTCAATTGTTTTATTATTTAATTTATTCATAATGAATTAAATAATAACTAAAAGGTTTCCCAGCTCACAGGACATAATACAGCGGCAAATCAAAATGATGAAACAATGCTTATGAAGCACGTTTAAGTCTATTTTCTAAATGTTCCAGGCCAAACATTCGGGAGAGTCCTCCTCAGCAGGCCCAGATGAGATGATCCACAACCAGAATGTGAACGTCCCACCAGCCGCGCACTTCATCGGGGGGCTGGAGCCGCACAGCCTCTACGCTGTCAGGGTGGCCTGCCACAGCAGCCAGGGCCCATCCGACTGGTCGCCCTGGGTGGAGCTACGCACCAAAGAAGGAGGTGAGGCCTCCGGCTGGCTGAGGAGATGTTTGTTTTCACCCTGGAAGTGTGCGTGCGTGTGTGTGTGTGTCGGGTCACTGCCGCTGAAGTGAGCCCAGGTCTCGGCCGTGCTGTCTGGCTACTGATTGGGTCCAAGTCTCCTCCCTCTCCTGCGACTACTGTACTGTGACCAATGACGGACAGATGCTACGCTGCAGATAGACCATCCAGCTGCTTGTGAGGGTGGTCTTATACAGTGCAAAGCATCATTTTATCATGTTATTATATTACAATGCAAAAAATGGCCGGCCTTAGTCTCTAAAGCGCATAGTCAGATTGTGACGGATGCATCGCGTTCGCATTTCAAAGCTGTCTTAGTCTATTTTACATACCTATGACTACAACTTTCACTGTGCAGGCCTAATGATTACATTATAAAGCTGCCGGCTGCTTTCTTATTGCTCCCTAATTTCACCTCGTCAAATAGTGAAAGTGTAAATTAAAGGGTCACTTTTGAATTTTTTAACCTGGACCCTGTTGTTTTTTTGACCAGTTACCTATTGAGACATGAACATTTATTTGAAATTGTTCCAGTATTGCATAATCACCTCATTAAACTACAACGTAATCGCTTCGGGAATCTCCTCACAGTTGATGACACCCACTTTTTAAACTTCAACCCAATTTTAAATAATTTATTAAATTGGTTGAATGGAGAAAACAACCCTTACTGAATGCACATTGCCGATGGGGAGTCGCCCCGAGGGCTTAATATTCAATGCTGGACCCATTACCCTTATTCAAGCAACCGCTGGTTCCAAAGATCCACCCACTGCGGGATGCAGTCATCTTTTCTTCAGCCGCCTTGTTTTTTGTTTAGTTTTTTTGCCTAGAGGCATATATTTTCTAAGCTTGTTTTGTGGTGAATCAAATTCACTGCCGCTTCAATTCAGCCAACCTCTTTCCATGCTTGTTTCAGCAGGACAGCAAGGAGTCATAGAGTCAAGTTACAGTGCACTGGTAGTCATTATGCTCCTTTCTGTGCCCCTCCATCTTAAGTCTCTGTATATAGAGAATGCCAGACACCGGTCCCCTGCACTTCCACGCGCTTTCAAATGCAAACTCTGGAGGTGGGAGGTGCAGGAGGCTGACTGGGACTGCGGGGACAGAGTAGGCGGAGACGGGAAGAGTGAGAGGGGTGAAGCTAAAATAGTCCTGAATGGCCTCAGTTAGGATCGCCGCACTGCGTCCAAACTGTACCGCCAGGCTGCCCTGTGTTGGAGTTTGAAGGCGAGGTGGGATTTTCCATGCCAGCTCATGCTGTCTCTTATCCCGGGATGAATAGGAATGGAAACAGCTAAGAGGAGAGATGATGGGGCCTTTCCATCATGGAAGCCGCTCTCAACCCCCCAAAACACAAAGCGTTTCACATAAACAGTCAAATGGAGAAGTAGCAATGAAAGAAGTAGCAACTCCTACCGGAAAGGAGAAGGACAAAAAGTTGTTTGGAGACACGTTCGCTGCAGTCGGGATTTCAGTTCTCTTTTCAACTAAATCAAAAGTTTTGTTTCAGCGAACACAAATCTGCTGCTTCGCCAATTTATTTGACACCCTTTTCAGCCACAATGTTTTTATCTGCGGAAGCTCTATGCACATTTGTACTTATGAGTCAGAGGAGGAACAAAAAGCAGAAGATTCAGCTGGTAGTGAAAGATGGTTCAGGAGGCGCTGAAGGTCAGAGGGAGTGACGGAATGAAGGGCAGAAGTAGACTGCTCACAGTTACACGTCTCTGGTTAGTTTTAAGGCTGCAGACGTGTTTAAACTCCCATAAGCCTCTAACTGCCCAACGTCTTTTATTCGCACTCTTTACTCTGCTCCATTAGCTTCTCATGAAGGAATTCCACAGATGTTTCACCGTATCTTTTCATATCTCATTCCGGCACAAAGTTGCTTCTCCCCTCCTCCAATTCTCATGTTTTTCACTTCATTACAGCCTCTTGTGCTGCCAACGGTTTTTCAAATTTCACGACCGCCCCCCAGTTCCATCAAGTAGGCGGTGCTAGCGTGCTCTCATTTGGTTGCAGCGGCCTTTTCCGACCTCAAATCCTACAAGCAGCTCTGCAGGATTTATTTTCCTGTCTCAAACAGGCAAGCAAACAAGAACTTTCATCTTCACTTCTTTTCGACCCCAGTTGACCTTTGATTTCCCCTTCTAGAGCACACAACTCCAGGCACTGTGGGAAAAGAAAGGGGGCTGGTGGTGGGAGACGGCAAGGAATGGATGGAAGAGCGAGGGAACGAGGGGGCGCTTTGAAAAAACACTCATTTAGCTATTTTCCCAAAGCCCACTATTTTCCCCGGAGGAGGTGGAGAGAACTTTAAGAGCGATTGGGGGGGTTGGGGAGGCGCTGGTTGGTGGGAGAGGAAACGAGACGACCCGCGTCACCTCCTAAATCCTCAAATGCGACGGCATTATGTTTGGCATATTTATTCCATTAATGCATGTTTCCTAACACAACTCCAGAAGTGCATCTTTCCAAGAAAACCCCACTTGGCTGGACAAAGGCTGCTTTTGGCAACACTTGACTCGAGTCGTTGTGTCATAAGTTAAAGATTCCCTCTTCCCTTGTGGCTGTACGCTCAAAGTGACGCCATAATTAATCCAGAGTTACGGGACAACCGAAACCACCGCCCTAATGCAAGTGAGTCACGACAACGCGGAACAAAACACATTTTATCTCATTTAATTTTACTGCCAGCTTAAGAAATGACCAAGGTCTCCGCCCGCCAAAGACACTTGAAAGAATACTTTTTTGATGACACTGACATTCGTGCATTGGCTGATCTGCAAAACATGTTTTTCCTAAATTCCGCCGAGTTTGTTTTCATTTACGGAGCACAGACTCCGGATCCCAGGGTTATGAGTCAATGCTTTTGGCTGAAGGGTGACCCTTTTCCGTCCACGCGTTGACTCACCGGGGGGACGAAGGGGGGGCACACAGGAAAAGAGAGGCAACGATGAAACAGTTCTCCTGCACGGCTGCTCTGGCGGCTTGAGACCGTAGTCGTAAAGCCGCGGGTGCAGATGTGAACCACGTCTGCTGTGAACTAATTGTGGCTCAAAAGTGTTTGTTTCTCCGCCTCTCGTCAAGCCCCGAACCGCTTTCATGTGGAAGACATTTTTCCTCTGTAGTTTCTGCATTTAAAAAACCTGCAGCACACGTTTTGGTTTTCTCTCAAAAGGACACAAAGGTCTTACGTCGACGGCAGACGAAGGGACTTGGAGAGCAGGAGATGGAATCTTGTTGGATGGGAAACAGGGAGGGAGGGAAAGAAAGAGACCAAGAGGGAAGGAGAAAGGGAGAAGGGGAACAAAGGGAGCGGAGAAGGAGGATCGTAGGTGGAGGCGACGCGCTCCACTCGGACCTTGTTTTTGTTGCCGCTGGCAGCCAGAGCAGGCGCCGCATGTGGAAACAATCATCTGCCAAATGCTTCCCGATAACATCATCCGTAAAGGCTTGGCCGTGTTTCCCAAACTCACACTGGCTTTGAGTAAGTGTGTGTGTGCGTGTCCAGATAGTTTGTGAAGACAAAAAAGACGGCAACGCGCTGTTGTGCTTTGTGAAAAGGATTTCTGTTTCATTCAGAACATCAGTAACACACACACACACACACACACACACACACTGACACATTCATCTTACTACTTCTAGCATTTCTTCCTGCTGGGTTTTCTCTCATGTGGGTGTTTCCTTTTTTTACTCTCTGATCCAGAGAGCCAGAAAACAAACAAAACCAGGCCAAAGAGAGCCGAGCAGGACTAGTGGATGGACAGAAGTAGGGGGACAGCACGAAGGGGCGAATGAGGCCACACCGTTTTGACACTTGAGCTCAAACACGGGCTCTCAAATCGGCCGCTCGCCCTTTAGTTCCCGCCTCACTCGTCCTGACGGAGATGAATTCCCCCACATTCTCAGACACCTTCTCCCTCTAGCTGCTGTAGTTGTCCACACGCTTGAGACTCCGGGCTGTCAAAGCAGCACATCCCTAGTGACCCCGAGCCCGCGCGCCTTAATCGCATCGCTGCAGAGCCTTTTTCCAGTTGAAAATCCCAGCAGCTAAGTGAGTGACTTCTTTTTGCCGCTCTGTGTTAAAGTGCCGGAAAACCCTCCGGTCAACGTGAGCGGGGCGCTGAACGGGACGGATGTGCTGGTGACGTGGGAGGAGCCTCCGGGGAAGCTGAACGGAGAGCTGCAGGGCTACCGGGTGGAGTACAGCACGCCCGTCACGCATCAGGTCAGTCTGGGACGCCCACAACTAAACGCCCGGCGTGACGCTGTCCGGCATTTGCACTGAAAGATGAAAAGAAACGTTCAATCGGCTTCATTTTGACTCTTCCTCTTTTGCTGACAGTTAATCGCGGACGCCGGACTGGACACAGAGCTGTCAATCAACCTGTCCGTCCCCCTCTCCAATGTGTCTTTTCGAGTGTGCGCCTATACGGGGGCCGGGCAAGGACCCTGGACCCCCACACAGACGCTGACTCTTATTGCTCCCGGTGAGTCCGACTTTAACTTTAAATTGACCGTAATCACTTCTTACTAATTTCTGAGATAAATATTGACATCGGCTCCGTTTTATTCTTATTCTCACAGAAATGGAGGAATTTCGAGGTGAGTAAAGACTGGCTTTACACTTACAAACATTCAAACCTCTCAGAGTGAATCACACAATTGATATTGAGCTCATGGCGTGTTTTTTTTCCTGCCAGATTACTTCTCTTTTCTTATTCTTAGTCACTGGGTTCCTCCGAGAGCCTGAGAGTTCCTTCCTTTGTGTCTCAGGGGGAAAAAAGGGGAAGAAAGAGAAAAAAAGAGAAATGAGGATCTCAAACAGAGATAGAGGGAGGGGGGGTGTCAACGGGGAGACGCATAATAAATATTTATAACAGACAGGAACATTGCAGCATCTCTGTTTGCTTAGTCTAATAGAGGCAGACAGACAATTCAAACAACAAGAAGACAGATATAAAAAGAGGCAATAGGGGCCGGGGGGGGGATTTAGAAGCTGTGGGTGGTGGTTGTGAAGGAAAAGCAGCAGCTTGGAGGATGGGGAACAAAAAAGAAAGCGTGACACTTTTAGTAAATCACTAAATCCACAAATATGGAGGCAGGAATGAGGTCACATGTAAACAGCAGACATTGCCTGTGTCACAAACATGTAATAACTACGGAAGGGAGAAAGGGAATTGAGCTTTTCCGGTTGCACACTTGTTCTGCTGCACGCAGCGAAGCAAATAAACCGGAACACAATCCCTGTTTTATTCTTTCACTCGATGACGCTAAATCATCCTAAAAGACCCACATGAATAAACCCTCCTCTGTCCCTGACCACACTCCCTTCCCTTCTCCCCCCCCCCCAGGTCCGTCCACGACCCCGGCCTTTTCCTGGCACTGGTGGTATGTGGTGATGGCTGTCGCCGGCGCCGTGTCCATAGCTGTGCTCATGGCTGTTTACGTGGCCAAGCTGCGGCGCAAGGAGACGCGGTTTGGGTGCGTATATAAACTCCTGCTGGCGCTTGTCCTGGGTGGAAGGGAGGGACGCCATAGCGGTGCCAAACCAAAAAAAACTCCCGGACCCAGTTGCTTCACTTTGGCATTGGTCGGAGGAAACAGCTGTGTTTGCGCCGTCTGCCAGAAAGACGACCTCTCATCGGGCTTTGACCTGATGCTAACGCCGCTTGCTTGCGTTCGCAGGGAGGCCTTCGAACCCATGATGGAGAGCGGAGAGCTGGTGGTCAGGTACCGCGCTCGCCGCACCTACAGCCGGAGGACCGCAGAAGCAACGCGTGAGTTCCCCCTTCCCTGCCCCCTGCATGTCGGGGCGCCTTAAGTGTGATCCCCGAAGATCTCAAGCAGCAGGAGACGAGTGTCCCCGCGTGCCCTAAACCTGCCTCCGTCCCCGGGATGGTTGCTGACAGACAAAGGCAGCAAAAAGGTCTCATCTCTCACGCCCTGGACGTGGATCTGACCGTCCAACGGAAGGATCTCCTTTGGCGCACAGTGGCAGTTCTGTTCTCCGTCTTTGGAAACAGGAAGCGCGTTTCTTTGGGGCATCAAAGGCAGGAACGATAACAAATACGGGTTAATTCCTTCCGGACAGCTGCGAAAGCAGCAACCGGGGTGTTGAAGTCATCCGACATACCCCTTACGATCTGTAACGCAATGATTTTGTTATTTCTAATCACATCAATGTGCAATAAATCCATCGGGGGAGCGTGAAAGCAGGATTTAAATACGGCCACATTTTAGTCTTTAAATGTCGGAGGCAGGGTCGATGAAATGAAGATTGCATCGAGTACTTCTCCTGTTAAAGACATTTCAGATTTAAAAAGGCATCATATCTGCTGTATCTGGAGCTCACGTCACTTTTGGGTCCAGGTGGAGATACGACCTCATACCAGTGGAGGACAAAGCATCTGGTTTGACTGGTTTGACTGGTTGGCTGGTTACAGATGGAGATACGTACCTGTGAACCCAACATGCAGTCTCAGAGTTTACACAGCTGGTTCGTGACACTGATCCAGGTGTACGGCTGATACTTCAAATGTCAAACTTCTCATACGCAAATCTCAGCTTGTCGCAGCCACAGAGAGGCCAAAAAGTTATTCACTGCATAAAATGAGACCCGGCCCTAAAAACAAAAACAAATATAAAGAGATGTGGAGATAATGTGTAATTGCAATGAATGGAGATTTGGAGAGCTCGCTGGGAATAAAGGAAGAGGTCAGTTTGGAAAGATTTGGGTGGGATTTTCGTTGTTGATGTTGAGGACTGATTCGACGCCAGTTCTCAGGACACAGACGAAAAACCCTCCGGTTTATGGCTCGCATCGGCTGATGTCTGGCCGCGCCAGCATGTGTTGGAACATGCCTGTGGGCTGAGCACATTGTTGTGGGACGCAGGGCAGATTGATAGTGTAGCAGCAGCTGGACGAGGGATCTCTGGAGCATGTCGTTGCCTTGTCATACACTGGCCCAGATGTGGAAACAGAGCTAATATCTGGAGCTCAGTGACAGCCAGCTGGTTGTAGAGAGCCAGGGATGTATTTTTTTTTAAACGGCTCAAATCCTCTGACCTCAGCTCCCCAACCGGAGCCCCAGCAGGATCACGTGTGCCAAGCCTGAAAAACGGGATTAATGGGACCGACACAGACTCTCTGCACTGTCCCCTTTTAAAGTTTTAACATTTGAGTTTGTTACACTTTCTGTCATTCATAGGAACAGGTCTTTGTTCATTGAAACGCTGAATCATTTATTACATTAATACAAAGCCAAATAATGTAACGTTAGGCCCACTAAACATAATTCTTCCAATAAAAAAAAGAGCTCTATATATAAAGTTTTATAAGTAGACGGGGTGGTTTGCGTTTAGTTCTAGTCTTATTTCCATTGTTATTCAAGCTGACAGTGTTTATCAACACTGTTTTTGGCTCAGCGTTGTGCATTGTGGTTTTAAATTCTCGTTTTTTCTCTCTTTTCCACGCTGTTCATTACGTTACTCTGGGCCTCACACACCATCCGAATTCCTCTTCCTTTTCTGTGCTCAGTGAACAGCCTGGGAATCAGCGACGACCTGAAGCAGAAGCTCCAAGACGTGATGGTGGACAGACATAAACTCACCCTGGGAAAGACGCTGGGAGAAGGTGCTGCTTTGTTCTGGTCCTTTGACTTATCAGCAGCACAGACGTCTTTCCACTCATCTCAAGTCATTTCCCTCTTTGTCGTTGCATCTGAACTGGGCGTTTTATTGTGTGTGTGTGTGTGTGTGTGTGTGTGTTCAGGGGAGTTTGGCTCTGTGATGGAGGGGATGCTGACTCAGGAGGAGGCTGTTCTCAAAGTTGCTGTGAAGACGATGAAGAGTGAGTAGACAGTGAAAGTACTCAGCAATCAGCACAAAGAATCCCTTCATCTTGAGAACACAGGCCAATTGACGCACATCCCCTCGTGTCAGAGTTTAACAAGTGTTGGGGGAGGGGGGAGTTTTTGATCGGAAAGGCGACAACGATGCCGCTTGTGAAGAATTTTGGTGGAAGAAAAAGTTGACATAGATCACAGTGGCAAAGTAAAGACAATAGTGCAAAAACTCCAAAGAGGAATATTTCAACCTACCTAGTGGTAAACGTTACTAACAGAATTTAAAATCAAATCAAACAAATTTAGCTGCCATAACACCCGCAGAAATAAAAGCATATTTCTGACCCTGTCAACTTCATAACCTTGCAGCATGTGCATGAGGTCACACAAAAGCACGTCGTCTCACCACGTGTATGGTCTCCTCCCCAGTTGCCATTTGCACCCGCTCAGAGATGGAAGATTTCCTCCGCGAGGCGGCCTGCATGAAAGAGTTCGACCATCCCAATGTCATGAGGCTTCTAGGTGAGTCAGGCTTATCTAAAAACACTCAAATAAAGTGAGAACATATTTATAGAAAAAGTAAGACAATTTATTTTGCCGATTGAGTTGTGTGAACCGATGAAACTGCGTGTGAGTTGTTTGAACACAGTGTTGTCGTCCATAAGCCCAGAAGATGTACCGAGTCTATGTGTGCAGCACTAAGCCGCCGTGTTGTTACAGGTGTGTGTCTGCAGACTGTGGAGAGCGAAGGTTACCCCTCCCCCGTGGTCATCCTGCCCTATATGAAGCACGGAGACCTGCACAGCTATCTGCTCTACTCAAGGCTGGGAGACTGTCCTGTGGTGCGTCCAATCCCACACAATGAAAGAACAGAGTCAGCAGCTCACGCACACGCACACGCACACATTTATATCTTGGTTGGTTTGGGGTTTATAAGTTCACATGAATGTCCGTCAGCAAAAAGGAATGCAAAGATCAACAAAGACGTCAAGTATTTGTTACAGTGCACCTTTTCTTGGCAGTGTGTGCGCTGTGAGATCATGAAAACACAAGATATTCATCTGTCACTGCTCCCTGCAGCGTCACTAATGGATGAGATGGTTTTTGGATTGGAGAACTATTACACGCAGTAAGTCCCTGGAGAGCCAGGGTTGAAAAACACAAGCCCAATCAAAACAAGAATCCTGCTGAATGTTGAAACATCCATGAGATCCTGCAATCGTTGAAAAGCACAGCGGTGCTGAGCCTGGTTCCTCCCACAGGAGGACGGAGGAGGAAGGAGGAGGCTGTTAGGAAACAGGGAGCAGGGAGCGTTCGGTTCATGACCATGGCAGCTCAACCAGCTGGACTCTGTCTCCCTCTACTGTACAGCAAAGACATGGCAGCTGTGTGTGTGTGTGTGACTAAAACCATGCTGTCTCTGTTTTGTCCCGCAGTACCTCCCGTCTCAAATGCTGGTAAAGTTCATGACCGATATTGCCCGAGGGATGGAATACCTCAGCAGCAAGAACTTCATCCACAGAGACCTTGCTGCTCGCAACTGCATGTAAGCACAACCTGCTCCCACTTCTGTCTTGGTTCCTGTGTGTCACTTTCTCTTCAACAGAACCAAAAGCACACTTAAAAAAAGAGATTATGGTTTACACATTTCGGGGAGGGGAAGGCCCAAAAAGAAGCCATGACACTTGCATGCGTGTATTTTCCACTATGACTCCCCAACAAAGCGCGCTGTAACGCTTTCTCCGCCTCAGGCTGAACGAGAACATGAACGTCTGTGTGGCCGACTTTGGCCTCTCCAAGAAGATCTACAACGGAGACTACTACAGGCAGGGCCGCATCTCCAAGATGCCCGTCAAATGGATCGCTATCGAAAGCTTGGCCGACCGCGTCTACACCACCAAGAGCGACGGGGTGGGTTCACCTGCTGCGTGTCTGTGCGCGCATGTGTGTGTGTGTGTGTGTGTGTGTGTGTGTTTTAGATCCCAAATCCCGTCAACATTGCGGCTTCCAATTTATTTGGCTTCAGATTTAGGTTTGGATTAAGATAAATCGACACTTCCACCTTAAAATATCTTTTGAGATTCAAAAAGGTCGAAAAGTGGTTTGTTTTAGTGTTGCTTCATTTCACAGTAAAAACAAGAACCAAAACTTCCAGGAAGCCTCTTAAAGCTCTGATCAGACAGAGCCTTTTTTTTACATTTGACAGCGGCCTACTTAGTGCTAACATTAGCTTTACGCACAGAATGTACTGCACCGCGTTGCACCGCTGGTGAACTGGTGTAGGTCCACGTATCCAGCAGAAGCCCCCGAGCTGCTTAATGTTAAAAGGGCCTGAAGCAGTTGGACCATGTAGGAATCCACAACTCATCAGAGGGCTGTCAATCATTGTCTCACCCGTATTGGACTAATTACGTTTGTTGAGTTTGGAGGAGAGTGACAGGACTAAATGACAGCATTGTATTTCCTTCATGTTCTAACTAGCGTTTTAGATGTTTTCCACTCAAACTGAAACACAGCTTCTCAGCCAAGGAAGACAGTACTGTGAAAATGTTTTAACACCTTCATGTCACGTTGTAGTAAAGTGTCCCTCCTAGAACCCGTTGCAGTATCCCAGCGAGATACAACACAAATAGACTGAGTATTGTTTGCTGTGTGTGGTAAGGCATGTAAAAGCTAAAGGTAGGTCCAACCTCTTTAACCCTTCGCCCTCTCTCTCCACTATCTCCGTCCCTCTCAGTGGTCCTTTGGAGTCACCATGTGGGAGATTGCCACGCGTGGCCAGACCCCGTACCCCGGCGTCGAGAACAGTGAGATTTATGATTACTTGAGACAAGGAAACCGTCTCAAGCAACCTCCGGACTGCCTGGACAGCATGTGAGTGTCTTCGCTTTCACATTCCTCCTGATAGCTGGCAGCTGATAAGGAAGTTAGAACAAACAACAAGGCTAGACGATAAAGACTATCTGCATTTCATACTAGTGTTTTGTAAACATTCTCAGATGAACACTTTTTGTTCAGATATATATTCCTCTAATTTGAAAAGCCCATACCTCTTGATAAGCCTGAGAGTGGTGTTATTTTAAACAAAAAAGACAAATTTCAAAGGCACAAAACAATAAGTAGTTAAAAAGGCACTAAGCTTAAAAAGGTTTGTGAAAAAAAAGATACATTTGTGTCTTGTGTTGTGTTTTGTCCAAACAAATTACATTCAAAATATGTCATGATTTAATTCTCAGAAAATGTTATCGACTGGACCCTCCCAAGTGTTAGTGGTTGTCACATGTTCCCAATATGAAGATAACATTTCCTCATCCTCTTCAGCTACGCCCTGATGTTCTCCTGCTGGCTGCTGAGTCCTAAGGACCGCCCCTCCTTCGAGTCCCTGCGCTGTGAGCTGGAAAAGGCCCTCAAGGATCTGCCGGACACCCAGGACCCGGACGAGATCCTGTACGTCAACATGGACGAGTCCTCCATGGAGCTCGGCGCCGTCGGCGGCCGCGACCCGCTCTGCGGTCCGACCCCCCTCTGCCTGAAGGGTCTGGATTCCGTGACCACCGTGGAGGTCCACCACCCCAACCGCTACGTCCTCTGCCCCCAACACGAGACCAACCGAGCCCTCTCGGACTCCCTGGAGAGCCTGGACATGCGGCTGTCGTCCTCCACGGCCACGCTGCCTTTACAACCGTCGTGCCACTCCACCCCCAATCCCACGCCCGCCCCCACCCCGACTGTGGAGCTGCTGGAGGACAGGGACTCGTCCAGGAAAATGCCCTGGCAGTGATGGCTCCACTTTTGAAGCACGTCTCATCACTGCCAACGCGTGCCGTCCTTTAATACCGAGATCCTGCCTCTTGATGCGGACTTTAACGAACCCTCGTGTGCCCTGAAATACAGATTTCTGAACACAAATGAACACACAACCGAAGGCGTTCTGAGGAAGGGAAGGATCGGGTTTCGCTCCGCTCTCTTCTGAAATGAGCACATATTCTAAAGTGGATGTAAAAATAAGTTACAGTAGGTGACCAGGTTAAGCTCAGGCACTGATTCCCACGAACACTGCGGCACAATCAGAGAAATGCATCCCAGCAACGAAAGACCGGATCTGCAAAACTACCTGCATACAGCAGATGGATCTCATCCATGTGATTAAGCTACCACAAGTCTCTGTGAAGCAGCTCACACACTGCCAGGATGAACACAACCAAACACACTCAGGCCTGAGCGCTAACGCCCAGAGTCCCTCTACGAAAGTTCTCCAAACCTCAAGATACAAGACTTTTCCCCCTATAGCAGAATATGAATGAAATCTTTAAACAAGTAAAATAATTAAGAGACCAAAAACAATTCAAAGATACTGCTCATAGAGTCCTCCTTCCCCAGCAGTTTGTTCGGTGGCCTGATGTAACGCTGCGGGTGGTTCTTCAAGTAGCCCTTTAAACCCAACGCGCCGTTTACAGGTCAGGACAGATGCAATGAAATGAAATTCAACCAGTCTTCACATCTGAGACTTTACTCGATGGGGACACAGGTACTGGTCAAACGAAGGGGACACAGGTACTGGTCAAACAATGGGAGGGGGTTGGATGGACTAATGGGCGGTGCATGATGGAGTAACCCGAGGCACGCGGCAGGATGAGCTCCTTCGCCTTTGCCTCAAGCACAGTGTTATTATACATTTTTGTATTTTTTTTTGTCAATGCTGATTTTTGTATTTCAACAACTTTGCACTAATGTCTTTTTTTATATAGATCATCGTATGTTTGTTCATAATTTGTATATCTTTTTTATGCTTTTTCTCTCAATTTCATGAAACCAGTTGACAGCTTCACTAAGGCGGAGAATGAGGCATGGCAGGGCGGATCCGGGGGACATGATGACCCCCTGATGTCATCCTGCCATGGACGATTCTCTCTCCAGGTTCAACACTGTAAATAGAAGTTTAGCACCAACACAGTGGAGATGGAGGAGGGGGGGGGTGTAGGAAAGCAGCAGCGAGCGTGATCTCCTTTGAGGTTTGCCAGTTGCATCTTTGCATCATGCAGGCACTTATTTTGTAAATATATAGATAAATAGATGTTCACATGTATCTCTATATCTTTGCTTTAGGGCATACTTTTGCCATTGGAATGTATTCCTATACACGTTTGGGAGATTATTTGTTATGAATGTTTTCTCAAATGTACATGAAAAGGTACTTGTACACATGAACCAGTACGGAGTGATGTTTCAGCATTACTTAAATTCTTTAAGATCTCGCTATACATTTGGTACTGTGTTATCTGAGTGATGCATCGATTTTTGTGCCGCACAAATCTTTCACCAACCACCGGGATTGAAAACATTGTTGGTTCTTTGGACGCATAGAAAAACTAAAAGGTAAAAAAGGTAACTCAGAAAAAAAAAGGTAACTCAGTTCAGATTCAAATGTCAGAATTTCACAACTTTGCCTTCAGTGCCTACAATATAAACAAATATTTTTGCATTTCAGTAAACATGTGTGTGTATTCTTCCGGTGTATTGAATCGGGAGACGATTGTGCTATAACTGCCTTTGTACTGCCGCTGATTTGTAAAAGTTTTATACAGTACCCACAGTATTTTATATAAGAAATAAACGTGTCCAAGGTGAAAGAGCCCTCCACCCGAGGGTTCGGGTGTAGCCTGCGTTAATCTCATCCACATCCGGTGTGTGTTCGTTCATATTTATTGATTCAATACAGCCGATGACGAGCTAAATGATGAATATTAACATTCAGCACGCTGCCGTATCCTTTTGGGCGATCATCATGTGGAATGTACAGAAAGTTGCGTGTCCTGTAACGCGTGGTCTCAGAAGTGGATGTAGGAGATCTGCACGTCGCCCTCTATCTCCAGCATGTCGATCTCGTTGAAGGACTGCAGGCGGTGGAAGAAGTCGAACAGGTGCTGCCCGTTCACAAACACCTTGAACCTCTGGTTCCCGCAGCGGATGGACATCTAAGGCAGAAGGACGGAGGCGGGGGGTAGAGGGGGGGGGTGAAGAAAGGGCCGAGTGGAAATGATCTGAAACGCGCAGAAGGGACGGATGATACTCACGTCAAAGTACTGTCCCTCGGCGAAGGGGTTCATGCTGAGCTCTCTGTCCTCCTGCCCCCAGCCGCCTCCAATGAAGCTGTTCCTCACCACGACCCCCTCCCTCACCCGGGGGTTCATGTGGAAGGCGATGTCCCGAGATCTGCTCACCACGAAGTTGATGCTTATTCTGCAACACACATAGAGTCAGACGACAGTGAAGGCGGTGTATGCCCTCACACACACACACACACACACACACACACACACCTGTCTGCTCCGTAGGGCAGCATGCCTCTGATGATGATGGTCCTCTTAGGGTACATCCCTCCTGGGATCATATTGGAGTACGGCACCATCTGCAAAGGCGCAACGCAAAAAAATGCAATCAATAGGACCGGCGACATCGTAAATCATAATCATAATGATTCTTTTGAGAACAAACACTCGTCTTGTTACACTCAGCATAGATTAAAAGTGAAGCTGTGTATGGAGCTGAATGTAGTTATGGCAGTCATATTTTTTCAGCAGTCAAATTTAATGTGTAGCATTTCCTCTTGGCGACCCGAGGATATAAGGACATGGTAGGACCCCCCAAACCCTCCCTCCCGGAAAAAATAATTAATTAATTAATTGCAATATACTGTATAAACTCTACAAAAAATGTTCTTTATTATAACATATTTTTTATCCATAGTCCACATATCACTTTACTTTTCCGATTGACACTTTTGTTTTTCTGTGTCGCACGCCGTCTTTTCCACGCTCTTTCTGGTGCCGGGCCTCTCTCTCTCGCTCGGGGGGCGTCGTTCGAACGCAACGCATGTCAAGCCCTCACGTCGATTTTGCTTCTTCTTTTTTGAACTCTCAACAGTACAAAGTGAGGATTTACTCTAAAGGTAAAACACTTTTGAACTATAAGTAGACCCAGAATCCCCATTGCTGCTTAGGTAGAAATTGGTCTTTCTAGGGTTTGTAACGCCATTCAAATACAAGGCAAAACAAGGGAACACATCTTACTCACAGGGTTGTAGACCGGCTGCCCGCCCATTCCCTGCAATCCCATCCACAGATTCATGTTGGGTTATTGGAAACAACGGCGTTAAGCTTTATGAGCATGATGAAGGCTTAATAATGCAGTGTTCTCACCGGCAGGCCTGATCCCGGGAATCCTCCCTGAGAGGAGAAAGAACAGGGTGATTTGTACAAACACTGAACACTTACTATTGTTAACATACCAACTGGATACAGGACAAATTAGCTTGGTTTTGTTCTGCATAAAAGTGTGAATAAGACAAAAGGACAATTATAACACAGATTCATACCTCCATACCACCTCCCACGCCTCCCTGTAAAGAAGCACAAAGAAACTCACTCATGTTTTCCTTTTATTCTGCAGTAGCTCAAGGTTCTACAGTATTTTTAACATGCATAATAGGCACTATACACATTGATGAATAATAAATAACTAGAAGATTATATTCACCCCAATACCACCACCTGGATATCCTCCCTATAAAAAAGGGGGAGACATTTAAATATTGTTTGATGATGTATGTAATTGAATTTGACATAAAATATATACTTACTCCCATGCCCCCTCCCATGCCTCCTCCCATGCCTCCTGGATATCCTCCCTGTTAAAAAGGGGGAGACATTTAAATACTGTTGGATGATGTATGTAATTGAATTTGACATACCAGGTATACTTACTCCCATGCCTCCTCCCATGCCTCCTGGGTATCCTCCCTGGGTATCAGTTAGAAGAGGATTACATTAAATATGTTCACTGTATTTCACTATATTTATGAGCGATATAAGGGGAACTGCATTCAAAACTAAAACAACATACCCCCATGCCACCACCTGGATATCCTCCCTGTAGTGATAAAAGTAGTGATCATTTTTAATCCTGTGAAACACTTTGTTGAATTTGTAAATATGCATACTTACTCCCATTCCTCCTCCCATTCCTCCTCCCTAAAAATACCAAAGAGGAATGTAAGACCAAACACACAACAAAGCTTATACTTAACCTACACACAGTAGTTGCAGTTTTTTTAACACAGCAGATGATGTTGTTTGGCAACCAGACACACTATTGCTGATAACCAAATTACAACAACAGCTTCTTCTACTGACACTGATACCAGTTCTGGTAACAATTTACATTCCAGCTTTTACAAATATTGTAACAAATAGAGTAACTTATTACAACAGAAGTGGAATAACAGTGGTAATTGGGGCTTTGGGGACCGGGAGTCTCACCCCTATGACGTTAATCGTCTGGAGGCAAACGTCCCCGTTGATATGCATCGCGCAGACTCTCTCCACAGGGAGGCGGTGATGGAAGGTGTGGAAGTCGTTCCCGTTGACTTTGATCTGCAATGGGATCATGTCAATCATTGTGTATAAGTAAATATGGAATAGAAAGATAAGATACTGTTTGCAGTATGCGTGGCCCTCCAGTCGGTCTGACCTGGTAGCCCTGTGAAGTGACCATGATGACCATCTCAAAGGCCTGGCCCTGGCTGAAGGGCATATTGCGGATCTTGTCCTCAGACCCCCAGCATCCCTCCTGACAGGAGTTGAACACCACCTTGTCCCGGCCGTCGAAGCGAGGGTTGAAGTGAAGGGCGATGTCGCTGGACTCGGACTCTCCACAGAGCAGGTTGACGAAGAACCTGCCACAAGAAACAGCGGGTGAGCCTCAGCCAATGTGTCACCGAGCCCCGGGGGGGACTCATTGGTCAAGGTGGGGTCAAGGTGGGGCCGATTGTGGACAGAATCTGAGGATGTTGTAAAAAAAAAAACAGCTAACGATCTAAGGAATGTGCAGTGTTTACTTTGCCTGTTAATGGCCTATGAGTCCCTCACTATTTTGCAAAGGGGCGGGTTTGGTGATAAAAGTGTTTCACACATATTCTGATTTGCAACAGTGCAAAAAAAACAGCTGCACCCAGATTTGAGCTTGCACAAGGTGTACACCCAAAGAAAGATTCTGGTCTGAGATTGATTCAAAGTCCCGTTGCATGTGGCTCATACGCGTGGACGCTAACTTTTCCAGGACAAATACACGCGGCTCTTCAGAGGCTTGGGATCGCCTTGACTTTTTGTCTGTCAGATGTCTCCGTGGTCTGCAATGCTTTCAGAGTGGCACAAGTCATCTTTACAAATAGATGTTATTTAGTAGGAAGGGTCTGGTTTGAGACAAAGCTCCTTACGAGCAACAGTTGAATAAGAACGGAAGAAATCCACAGTCTTTGGTGAAAGAAACCAGAAGATTGGCATCAAAACCTGTGCAGGTTTAAAAAGCAGGAGCTTCCTGTTTCTGTTGTTGAAAAATACTTACATTTTACATTTGTCATTTAGCCAACGCATTGATCCAGAGTTACAATAAATGCATTCAACCAAGAGGTACAGAATATGAACAGGTGTGTTGCTCTAGAAAAGCTCTTCTTCACACCAGGCAATAGAAAGAGAAGGTCAGTGAAGGCTGTGTGAAGGTCAGCTGATCATACTACAGACGGAAAATGAGAGTCTGAATCTCTTCAATGTAACTACTGAGTAATCCACTACCCCCGATGTATTTAGAGGCCAAATGCCCAGCCGTGCTCTGATAATGATTAAGGGTCACTTCTGAACTGGAAATAGTCTTTTGTCATGGAAAGAATAAAACCATTGATACAACAGCTGACTCCAAACTCTTGCACAGCAGTAAACTCTTACGCACCTGTTAATGTCCTCAGGAATGGACCCCTGGATGTAGATGGACATGCCTTCCCTCAGGCCTCCATAAATGGGCCCCAAATAGGGGATTCTCTGTACGGTGCACAACAAATATTCATCCATCCCCCCGTCACAAAGCTCACAGGCCCGCACCACACATCTCCACATGATTACACATCGAGTCAGGATCTGGAGGACGTCATTCAGATAAAAACTGAAGTTTTTACTGGTGCTGTAACAATGAATTCACTGAAACTTTAATGAAAGAGTGAAGATCTACAGCATTGTAACCAGAAATATAGTCAACCAAGAACCTGAAACAATTTCTAAAACATTACACTTTTATTTATGTGGAGGAACACCAGAAGTTAGTTAGTTAGTTACTTAAATTATTTTCATCTGGGATTCATGAACAAAAATATTTCTGGTAAGATTGTTGTCCTGAGTACCACATAAGGCTGTACGAAAACGTAACCCTTCTGCTCCCCTGCAATGCATCACCGGGCAGAAGTACTCACAGGGCCGTAGACGGGCTGGTAACCTGGAGGAGCGACAAACATGGCGGCAGCGGTGCGAGACGGACAGCCAAACAGAATGGGGAGTGTTTTTGGTCAGGAAGTGATCTCTGCTGGATGCCCGGTTTTATACGAGTGACGGCAGGGAGGGGCAGCGCAGCGTGTTTGCTTTGGAGATTGACCTGTCGACCCAGCAGAGGAGTGGCACAGCGCCACAGGGGAGAGGAGGTGCTCGGATGCTTTAAGTTAACAACTGTAACTAGATTACAGGTAAAAGTCATACATTGAAATCATCACTCAAAAATAGTAATAATTACTTATATTGTAAAAAGTTCAATCAGCAAAATATTCATATTTGATATGCTTACTCTAGGACTATATATATATATATATTTCACTCCCCTGAGAATTGTAGGAGGGTCTATGTGTCCCGGTTTGGGTCTATGTGTCACCTGCACCTCCCTAGTGTATTTAAACCATGTGTGTCTGTTGTGCATTGTTAACTGTTTGGAAGTCCTGTCCATGTGCCTGTTCCCGTTCCTGCTTCTTGTTTCTTCCTCTTGCCTACGTTTTTTCCTTTTTGGCCTTTTCTTTTTGACTATTAAAGTCCCTTTTGTTGTCTGAAAAAACTCTGCGTTTGAGTCCTGCCCTTCTCCCCACGCAACTCCCTAAAAGAATGATTCATGTGACCCAGCCCGCCTGTCTGTGCACGGCATGCAGAAACACATCTTATCTGCCAGCATAAACTCACCTTATATACATACTACATGGAGGCAAGAGGTTACTCCAACAAATGCTACAGAGGAAACACGTTCATATACACACAGTCACACAATCTGTGCGGGAACAAAGGCTGATTTAGTGATACGTGGGTGTTTCCTGAAATGCTTACAGCGTAACAATCCCCTTTGGATATTTGATTAAGATAGAATATGTTTACGAAGCCCCTGTGAGACTTTAACGCAGAGGCCTGAACATTTAAATCTCTCAATTCACGATAGAGTGTAAGAGCAGCTTCACAATGTGTCACAGTCTAGTTACTCTAAGAGTCATTGCTGGCTTTAAGTTAAGTTAGAAATGGAAATTATTGTGTGTTGGTCATACAAACGATTAATGAACAATAATTTTGCACTTCATTTAATCACATTATAAAAACGTTATCATCTTTTTTTTATAATACGTTATCATGTATTTAAATTATTGTAATTATAACAATACATTCACAAATAGGTAATTGTCAGCAAGTGAACAAAAGTGTCTTGGAACTTGACCACTATAAAATGCTTTATGATGTGTTTGTTTAATGCTGCGTGATTCAGCATGCAGTGTTGCACATAGATGATTATAAAAGGGTTGATAATTAATTGTTGGGAAAACTTCAGTCAACCTCAGTCAATATTAGGTAGACGACATAAAGTCTGCGCTCTCTCACATAGAGGCACTTTGTGTTCTGTGTCATCTGATTATCAAGATGTTTGTGCGTCAATGTTTGTCTATGTTTATCTTCAACTATATATCCAGCTCCAAAGAAGAAAACCTTCGAGTAGCCTTGATCCATAACTTACGTCACCAATGTGTCTCCTGCATGCAAGTATTATTTATTAAATGTCCTGTTTAATGATTTTATACGAATGTCGAGTAAGACTTTTCCTAACATGCATGTAGACATCTTTTAATTTATGTAGGATAGTGACAATGGCAAAATGAATGAAGAGAACATGGACGTTGTCAGGCGTTCATGGAGCAGAAAGCTGATAAGGATTTACATTTGCTCAATGCAATATGAAAATTTATGTTAATGTCTCTGCCACAACATTTACAACACTCCATACGCACCATACACAGACACACGCGCAAACACACACACACACACACATAGGCGCGCGCAAACACACACACACACACACATTTTTGTCTTATGAGAATCAAATAAACTGGCCCAATTTACAAAAATTGTTTGTAAGTTTGAAACCAGCCGGAACAAATGCACATGCACAGTGAGTTTACATGTAAATGAGGACACATGTCTCAGTTGTCCTTAAAATAATCTGTTTATTCTGTACTGAAACACAGGGTTGAGTCAGAGGACACTCAGTCAGGTGGACAGTAGAGATCTCCAGTCAGCTGCCACCGTCTGGACCACAGCGGCGAGTACACACTTCAGAGTCATCGGCAGACAAAATACCGCTCGGCCTCGCACAAAGTCAGTGGAGACATTTGGATGCGAGAGAGTTTGTAGGTGATACGTCGTAGGACCAGTGAGACGACACTGTCTGAGATCAACGCATCCATCCCACCTGACTACGGGAAAAGAACCGGCCGGTCATAAAAACATAGCAGAGAGAAAATGTGCTCTTCCGACTTCAAACCTGCATTAACGTCAGTGTGAGAATGAGCCCCTCCACCGCTGGGGGGATTATCACGAAAAAGTTACAAGCAACGTGTTCATGTCCGACTGAGAAGAACGATCGCTCAAGTTCCTCCAAGCCCTAAAGAAAAATAAATATATGTATCTATGATTCATGTCAAATCAAAAGGCCTCTACGTTACTCCGTTATACACATGACACTGTAGCCAAGATGTACACATTAAATACATTCACGTGTTATTTCAATGCACAGAGAAAAACGTACCTGTGCATAAAGTGTCATGAAACAGACTCTCAGCCAGAAATACAGACGGGCTAAAACGGTCGTCTTCAGAGGATCTGATCTGCATATAAACAAGAAATAAATACCCTTGGCATCCTCCTTTACTGCACGTGTGTACTTCAGAGTGCAAGCTGGGTTTGTCTATACAGCCGATTCATAGCGGTGACGGGTCACGCACGCAGGACAAGTTATTGTCATTTTCATTCACAAACGCTTGTTGGTGGACTCGTCTTCTCTTGAGGGGGAGAGAAAAGAAGAGAAGGAAGCGAGAGGGGAGCCTAGAACATCCGCTGCTCCCTCCAGGATCTCTGAGATACGACTGTGGGCGGCTGAAATGGTTTCGTTTCAAAACGCTCGCTCTCATCTCCAAAAAGCCACGTACAAAAACACAAAAAACTCCCTACCGTACACACAATATAAATAAAACGTATCCACTCTAATCTTAAATAAAACTGTTAAAGCTAAGAAGCAGTGACATTGCTATAGGCACTATAACGTTTACAGCAGTAGCGACTGAAAGAGCCCGTTTTGTCTACATGCACTGTTACGCAAGGCAGTCTATGTATATTATACACCAGAAAGGCCATGTAGTGTTTTCATAGCGCAATAAAAAAGGCCCCTGTCTTTTTATGCCTCTCCTCAATTCTCTCTCAATGACATTGTCCTGCAGGTGGTGCAGCAGTGCGGTCACAATGTGCAAAGCGTCAAGATAGGAGAAACTAAGAGAATAGATGTGTTCAGAGTCTTCATTTTTAATTTCCTCTCCCTCCCTCCCTTCTCCCTCCTCTCCTCTCCTCTCCTCTCCTCTGCTCTCCCTTCCTGTCCTCCCCCAGAAGTTGATGCTTTGCAGGATGTTATCCAAGCTGATCCTCGTACTGCTTCCGGAAGCAGTCTCCAGCAGGGAAGAAGTCCCAGCATCGCTCCTGGTACAGCTTCCACACGTAGGACTCCTGAGACACAGAGTCGTAAAAAGGAATAAGGACGATTTCTACAAATTCTGAAAGTGTACAAACTGACTGCCGCATGTAGCGTTACTTACCTGTCCTGTGTGTTCCGTTTCATCTTTATTTATGAGATACATCAGGAAGAACCTGAAGGTGAACAAGAGAAAGCAAATCTCAGATTATAACTGGATTATGTCCAGCAACATTACCCGCTTTATGCATGTTTTTAGAAGTAAAAGCATGATGTCGTTCAATGGTAACAGTTATCCACTTGTTGAATACTCGTTTGATGCCTCTTTCTAAAATGATCAAACCGTCAAGGGTTTTAAGGCCATCTGGAACTTTGGAAGTGAAGCTAAAAGAGTGGAAACATTCTGCATTTAAAAGACGGATCACATCTGCACTCACATGTAGTTGGCCAAGTTATGTTCTTCCAAGGTGTGCGTCTCGAAGCCGTGCGGCGTCGTGTCAAAGTAGTCGCTTCCAATACCACAGATGAAACACTTTGTCTGGATGGAGACGGGACAGTTGAAAAGAAAAACACGTTATTACTGTGTAACTGGAAGGGAAATAGTGATGTTGTTAAATCCCCCTGAAACGCATCCTCTTACCTCCATGTCCTCTCTGACCTGCTCCTGCTGGTCCCTCAGCTCTCCAAAGGCATCGATGATCAGACCTGACGGACACACAGAATTCCTTATTAGTGTCTTAACCCTCACTAAGGACACTTCTGACTGGTCCCCAAAACATTTGTAAAATGGTAAATGTTTGAATTTGTAAATGGATTTCTTGAGATCATTTTAATGTTGATAACTGCAGCCCACATTTAATTCAATTCATCAACACTTTGAATCAGGGTTAATTGCAGGAAATCATGCGTGAATGAATGGGTTCCCAGCACTAGTAACAATACGTCATGATCATTTTGAGAGTGTAGTATTCCTTTAAACCTGCTATGTGTGACATTCTGTCCTGCCGAAAATATATTGTAATTTTTTCGCTTGTGCTAACCCTTAAGTTGTGTGAAGTTATTATTTAATTGAGAGAATAACCATCTTGGAATACCCACCCTGGATGATAGCCAGCAAGATGACAATAACGAAGAAGAAGAAGGTGATGTCAAAGACAACTCGGTAGAGCTCGTATTCGTCGCCGGCCGGGTCCTCAATTTCATCTCCGATGCCCCCACCGGCGCGCACGCCAACGTACATGTGGAACAGGTAGCACTACGGGAGAGAACCACGGAGAGGATGTTCAACACCGACGAGTACAATAGCCCCCCCCGGTACCACGGCCTCTTCTTCTGCGCGCCCACTCACGGTCATCATGTCGTCACACTTCATGTCCGGTTCGTCCTCGTCCTCACTCATGTTGTAGAACTTGCGGAAGAAGTTGAAGGCCACCACGGTGTACAGGTACACCACCACGGCCAGCAGGCCCACCGTCATCATCAGCTGCGAAGGGACAGGTGCGCGGGACATTAGCGCACCGCGTGCAGGAAGCCCCGTGTCGCATCATTGTGGTGCAAGTGTGCAGACC